AAGGAAGCAGAGTAATGGTAAGTCCTGTGCTTCAGTTTTGTGGTAACCCAATTAAGGGGCTGGCCTTGTACAAACTTAAGGAGAGCCCCTGTCCTGGTTAGCTTTGTTAACTTGACACAATGTAGAATACCCAAGAAAGGATCTCAATTGAAGGATTGCCTGTGGGCATATCTGTAAGTAATTGATTCTCTTCATTGCTAATGAATGTGGGAGGGCCTGGTCTACTGTGGGCAGAACCATCCTTAGGCAGTAGTGCTATTGATGAGGTGTCAGAACTAAGGGCTGGCTGTCTAGGAGTCCATGTTCTTCCCAAGGATGAACAAAGAACTGAACATCAGAGGGGAAAGAAGTAAAAACTCAGAAAAGGTAGAAACAAGTTCACTGAGCAGGAAGCAAATAGTAAAGTAGAATAAGATTTAAAAAGAGCTGATTATTAGATTCATTGGCTTATTTATGTATTTACTTAAGGTGCCACTTGTGTACTATTCGCCAAGAATGACTTCACACAATGTCCTGGAGAAACAGCTGAAACAATGGGCTGTTGCCCTTAACCACCACATATGCTTCTGTGGAATTTTGCTTGCCAGTTTACTCCACCTAGTGTTAGAGTATAAATGAGAATGCCAACTAGACCTGATACCAAGGCTTTTCAGGAGCCGTCCTAGCTCTGGCCCACTAGGGGCATCTCCCCTCTCCCACTCTTATTGGTGCTGGGGTGCTTGTGCTAGAAAAATTTCTGCAACAATAGCAAAAAAGCCCATGTAGGCTTAGTCTTTAAAGCTGGTTAACTGCCAAGTAGTCTCTGAGCTGGTCTCTTCAAAGGTTCCCAGACCATTTCTTCCTTTGATCCTCTCCCATTTCATTTCATTTTCTTGGCCCAAATAGAAAATATCCCCAAATGGATGCTGTTGTTGGACAGGGAAAAAAAAAAAAAGCCACATCACTGTCCAGAGAATGGCCCTGGTTGATTGATGGCCTTAGTTTTTTGTTTTGTTTTGCATTGGTGTTTGGCCTGCATGTATGTCTGTGTGAGGGTGTCAGATCTCAGAGTTACAGATAAGTTGTTAGCTGCCATGTAGGTGCTGGGAATTGAACTGGGAATTGAACTGGGAATTGAACTGGGAATTGAACCTGAGTACTCTGGGAGATAAGTCAGTGCTCTTAACCACTGAGCCATCTCTCCAGTCCTAGATTGATGGCCTGATTAAGGGCACTCCATCTGTTTTGTGGGAAGCTTAATTCCTTCCCAGGTCTGGCCACTTTCCTGATTGCTGCAGCAAGCGGCATTCCTCCAAGGTTTCTGCTTTGAGTTCCTTCCCTGACTTCCTTCAGTGATAGACTATAACCTGGAAGTATAAACCAAAGAAACCCTTCCCTCCCCCAAGTTGCATCCCCCCCCACTTGAGACAAGGTCTCATTATGTAGCATCAAAGGTGTGTGCCACCATGGCTGGCTCCAAGTTGCTTTTGGTCAGAGTGTTTTGTCATTACAATAGAAAGGAAAGTGTAAGAAAGGGCAGCTGCAAAGACAGGTGGCAGAACAGGGGTAGGCTCCAGGGATGTGCTCACTGATGGACTGGGGGAGGGTAAAACCCAGACAGGAACCCTATCACTGGCAAAAAATGAGGAAGCTTGAGTGTTGGACATGAAGGGGGTGTATGCATCAGGAGGTCTGTAATGTTAGGTTTGAGATGTGAAGAATCCAAAGTGGAGGGCTCATGAGATGGCTCAGTGTGCAGTGGGGCTTGCCACAAATCCTGATGACCTGAGTTTGATCTCTAGGATCCACACCAAAGAAAGAGGACCACCCAACTCCTTCACATATTCCTTTGTCCTAGACCTGTCTGCTGCGGCACTCATACAATAAATGGGAAGCACTCATGTGGGGGTGGAGGAGATCCTTGAATGGTGGTAGCAAACATGAACTAAAGTTCAGAGGCAAATCCAACCATGAAGATACAGTGCCAGTTAGAGGTGTGGGGAGACTCCCAAGAGCCCCAAGTGAGATCCAAAGAACTCATTTCATAGCTGAATGTAGTCAGAGGGGTGAAGTAGATATTCCTAGGTGATTCCATGCAGAGTTGACTCTGTGTGTGTGGTGTGTGTGTGCAATGTGTGTGTGTGCCTTGACTGATAATAGAGCTTGTTTAAAGGGTGATCATGGTCAGTTTTCTGACAGTTTAGGAGATAGATCATCATAGGATCAAAATCTGAGACTATGAGGGTATGGGCTGAAGGTCTTGTGTATGGAGATCCACCCAGGACTAGATGGAGATCATCTTGGTCCCTGGAGGAAAGTGGGAGTTAATGGCTGATGCCTTCAACTCAGCACAACAGAGGGTATAGATGGGCTAGCTCTATGAAGTAGTGTTAACTGTAATTTGCCAGAGTCATAGCAGAGCCTTCCGGAATGCCTTGTATCTGTTGGAGACTTGCTGGCATGATTGCAGTGAATTAGCAGCTGAGGTAGTCTTCCAAGATACCCAGCTCTTGGGGTGGAGGAAGGAGGAAGACAGGACTCTGAAAAGTGAGGGACACTGGGAGAGAGCATAACGATGTGTAGAGAAAGGGGGAGATTAGCCACAGGTCACCAACAGCTGTTTTAGGCTGGGAGCAGGCAAAGGGACTCAAAAGATTGAATGGAGAGGCTGGGAAGTATTTCAAGAAATTAAACGATGTGGCATATGTCTCCCTCTGTATAAGTGGGCACATGTACCCCTCCCCCTCAGGCCTTTAGACTCCTGCTGGTGGCAGTGTGGTGTGGCTTTCAGGTGTCCTGGGCTGATAAGACACCTGGTTCTGTAGTCCCTAGGTCCATGCAAGCTGTGTTAACAAACAGCTGAGAAGCAGAGGAGAGAAAGATGATAGAGAAGGCTCTAGGCCTGTTACTCTGCTTTCTGGGGTGGCCACTGATCTGTAACCAAGGCTCACTTCAGTTGACTCTTCACTTCCCCTGAACTTGACATTTCCTTGTCCACATTCGCTTGATCCACACTGGGGCTGTCATGAAATCTTCATGGACTGAGCAACTAAACCAGCTCTTGAGTAAGGCTCCCTTCCTTTCTGTCCGCTCTTTATCACAGATAGGGGTCTGCTCAAACCTGCCCCCAAAACCTCCCTACCCTAACGTGTGTGTGTGCACGCGCGTGTGCGCGCGCGCACACACACACAAACACCAATTTTCTCCAAATGCCTCGACTGTTATTTCAAAGAAGCTGGTGGGAGGGAGGGCAAGAGAGGGTTTCCTTTGCAGGGGGTAAAGAGAAAGGTAAGGAAAAAGTTTTAAGAATCAAGAATCAAACATTTACAAAGCACACAAATGTCCTGGGCAACATCATTGTTCCAGCCATGACCCACTCTGTGAGTGGCTTCTTCAGAGCCCATCAGCCCATTCTGCTACTGATGCCCGACTCTCTGCTGGGGCACTGCCCTCTCATTTATACCCAACTGCAGCATTGAGCCAATGCTATCTTGCTGGCCATGCTGACAGCTCTGCCTGCCATGAGATCTCATTTGGACCTGAGCAACAGCAGTCAGGGCCACCGCAGGGGCAGCAGAGATCATCATGGCTCAGAGGCAGAGCTGTGCAAGTGTGGCCATTCTGTGTGGGCAAAAAGGCCCCCAAAAGAAAGCCAGAAAGCCAGACCAGAAGCCCACCACTGGGAACTGAGGAGCAGGGGTGACCTTCAGTCAAAGAGCTGAAGATCCCAGGTGGGGAGCTATGGTTCTGGGAACTCCCTGAGGCTTCCAGAGAGCTTGAGTCTGTGCTCTAGTTTGTGAACTGTGCAGTGCGCCCCTGCCATCAGGTCATCCATACACAACTGTATAAACAACCAATTTTATTTGTTTTACAAAATTGAGAAAATATATATTCCTTTGAAGTATTTCACAAAAATATACTTTCATGTCAATCAAATCTATTGTTATCACTTTAATTTACCATATAATATTCCATTCTAGGACCATACCATAACTTAACATACTTCTTATTAAAAGAATATTTAATAGTTTTTCTTTTTCTTCTATCTCAAACATAGCATTGGTTTACACATTAATACTATTATTTCTGTAGGAATAAGTTAGTTCTGTCAGCATTGAGACTAGAATGTCTGAGGAACAGAGGAGGCTAGGTAGAGAAGCATGTACTAAGACATTATTTACTCAATGTTTGTGTGTTTGAGACAGTCTTCTGTAGCCCAGGCTGGCTTAGGAACTGCAATTTCACACGGAAACCTTGAACTCCCAATCATCTTGCCCCCCACCTGAGTGTTGGATACATGCGTGTGCACCACCAGACTACTCAATGCTATTTGCATGTCTATGCAAAGTGCTGGGGTACAGTGGCAAGTAAAATTCCCCCTATTAGTGTGCTTCCTTCTCCTGTGGCTGGTCTAGCCCACCTTCTAATCTAATAGTGCCATAGAAATGACATCTAAGAGATGTAGGGGGAACCAATCAATTGCTGAGGGGCACGAATGGGAACATGGTATAATCTGCCACACTTTCCTTTCTCTGTGCTCCTCAGCATAGACGAAAGACAGAACTCAGAACACTTGGTGTCCCAGACTCCCTTTGCTGTAGAGTTCTGCTAAGGTCATGCATGGACACGTTTCAGCAGAGAGAGGGACTCAGGCAGGACAGCAGCAGCAGAGGACACCCTGGTATGAGGAGCAGCTGGTAGGACATGGGGAAATTGGGGTGGTCTGCAGAGCTGCACAGCTTCTCTGCAGGACTGCCAGCTTTCTGGCCAGTGCAGTCCTCCTGTTGGCTCCAGCACCCCACTTAACAATTTGTATGTGTGTATGCTTGAGACAAGGTCTCACTATGGAGCCCAGGTTGGCCTCTGCCTGTCACCACAGTGCAGCATGCACCACTATGCATAGACCTTGTAGAAATTTTTCTGTTACCTAAAACCCTGTAGAAAGTTCTCTCTCCAGAACACCTATGTTGTTTTTGCTTTCCCGATTGATAGAAGAGCCCCCCCCCCCTTTTCATCTTGTCCTGAGACTAACAGCTGAGCCTCTACAAAGTGTGCCAGCAGATGTGGCCACCAGCAGTCCATCCAGAAGAGGAGATGCACAGCAAGAGGTCCAAGGGAACAGAGACAAGCCTGAGGAAGAGGAGATCCATAGTCACGGCACACCAGGGGCACTGCAAAAGAGAGTAACGTGAAAAGGACAGCTTTCTCACTTTTCTGGGCATACAGTGTTCTCTGCAACAATTGCTGGGCCAAGGGCTGTTTTGGTTCAATAGGATCAGCAGTGTAAGTGTTTCAATACAATGATACAAGGTATTCATTCAATCAGCTCACACTTCCCACCATCACACATGAGGGGGTCCTTGCAGGTGCTACACAGGGAAGCGAAACCAAGGAGGGGGTGCAGACTGACTTCTCAACTTGAAAGTTGAGAAGGGAGTCTAATGCCAGGCAGTTCACTGTCAGTATATATATAAAACAGTACAATTTGGGAAAAGATTTTCAAACAACAACCAGTCCAATCAATTCAATTCCAGATGTACTACCCAGAGACTCATTTACAAAGTACCTGTGATCCTGAGGGTAGATTCTACAGCTGAAAGGCCTAGATTCTGGTGTGGTCTCTGACCAACAGCATAGATGTCAGTGGGCCATAGAGTACATGTGACATCTCCCCCAAAGATGGATAATGGTCTAGGGAGGGAAGAGTCTGGGATAATCATTCTTGGGAATGTGAGTGAGGTCTGCCTCCACAGACAGCAAAAAGGTCACCAGGTCATTAACAACCTCCACTCTCAGCTTTCTGGATGGAGTGCAGGATTTTATCTCCTCCACTGAGGAGATACCCCTGCATGATTCTCCTGGTTCTCTTAGTACTTCTTTGAGAATACAAGACCTCTGTGCTCCAACACATAAACTATGTTACTACTAAGACTTTTAAAGATGTGCATGTGTGTTCAGTGCACACACACGTATGTGCATGGAGAAGCCAGAGGGCAATATCAAGTAAGCTTTTTCTGGGCCCTGTGACTTGCTGATCAGACTAAGTAGGCCACCTAGCCCTCAAGATCCTTTGGTTCCCATAGCCCAAGCATAGGTGACAGGAATATGCCACCATGACTGGGCTCAACTTTTTATATGAGTGCTGGGGATCCAACTCAGGTCCTTACACTTGTGAGAAAGTACTCCATGGGTAGAGCCTTCTCCCCATATTTATTATTTTTTATTTTATGTAACTGGTGTTTTGCCTGTATGTATGTCTATGTGAGGTTGTCGGATCCCCTGGAACAGGAGGTACAGACAGTTGTTAGCTGCCATGTGGGTGTTGGGAATTGAACACAGGTCCTCTGGAAGAGCAGCCAGTGCTCTTAACTGCTGAGCCATCTCTCAGTGTGTTTTAATGCTTATCCATTCATCATAATGTGTTTTGATGTTCACCTACCCATCATACTCTCCCTCTCCCCACCCCACCCTGCAAGGTTTCTCTGTGTCCTGGAACTCACTCTGCAGACTAGGCCTGCCTTGAACTCTTGCTTCCTGGCTATGAGGTAAATGACTTTACTGTCACATGTTTTAACCACAATGTGCTGCCTCCACAGGCCCAGAGAAACAGCACCAATGGGGCATGAACGAGAACCTGTAAAGAAAAAGTCAAAGCAACCACTCAGGTGCTTGGCTACAGCAAAGAGCTGACTGACACATGTGCACAAGCATGACCAAACTAAAGGAATGGAACAACAACTGCACTCACCTGGGCTCCTCTGAGCCCTCCCCATCGCTGTCGTCATCACAATAGAAGATGTCTTTGAACAGGAAATCTTGTTTGGGAGCTGAGGGCGCCTGGACCTGACTGTTGTTTTTCTCCATCTTCTTTTCTAATTTTTCCTTCAGCAAAGGCAGACTGGTTTCATATAAGTAGTCAATGATCTCTACAGAAAAGGTCATTTTGAAATTATTTGTACAAGCCTGTAATTAAGCCCAAAGGACAAAGGACCTTAACAATAATGCCCTGCCCCATTTCCACACAGAAGATCCAATTTAGCTGGTGCAATCTCTTATGCAGTCTTTGAGGAAATCCTATGAGGTGACTATTATTCTATCCTTATTTATTGGCATGGGGTATGCTGTCTGGTATACATATGTGCACATCTCTGTGAGTACATGTGTACATGTGTATAGATATACACACACATGCACATACGTGGAGGCAAGAGGTTGATGTCAAGTCCTTCCTCAATTGCTCTCTACCTCATTTCTTGAGGCAGGGTCTTACTGAACTGTGAACTGCAGCTTACAGCTTTGTGGGTTTGGCTAGAGCGGACAGGGATTAAGGTGTGCATTGCCACTGCCCAGCTTCATATGTGCTTGCTGATGATCCAAGCCCACTTTACCCAGGTACTCCCCAGCTCCCTCCAACCCACCCTTCAAATGAGGAAACTGCCCCAAAGGCATTAACAAAGGTACTGAAGTCATAATCAACAAGGAGGTGAGCTGGGCAGTAATGTCCGCAAAATGCAGAGCTGTGTATTAGAACACTCTTCAGGACTGTCCCTGCCCTGTGGCTAAGGCACAACACTGCTATGAGGCATCAGGCTGCCTGAAGGGGAAAGGAAGAGACACAGAAACTTCTGTTTATTTTATTTTAAGACAGGGTCTCATGTGGCCCATGTAACCTTGCTGTGTAGCAGAGGCTGGCCTCTAACTCACAGAGATTCCCCAGCCTCTGCTTCCCTATTGCTGGAATCACCATACCCCGACAACCATATTCTTAACTAGACAAGGATTTGTAATACTGACCTGGAAAAGTCTTTTTCTGCCAAAAAGGAACACAGGCAGCTTTCAGCTTATAAAATTTTGCCTGAACAAAAGGTGGAGGGACATCCCTTTAAAAAGGAAAGGTGGGGAAAAAGTTAAGATGTCATCAGTTCTCTTTTTGTGACAGGCCTAGAATATACTATATAGTCAAGGACATCTCCTGATCCTCCTGCCTTTGCCTTCACCCTGAGTGCTGGCATTACAGGTGTGTACCACACCTGAGTTTATGTGGTGCTGGGGACAGAACCCAGGGCTTTGTGCATAGCAGGTAGCACTAGACCAGCCGAGCTGCACCCTCAGCTCCTCTCCCATCTCAGCGGGCATACTGCCACACTGGGCCATTCTGCATATGAATAGCTCTCCTATCAATCAGTGGACACACTACTAGCACAGTGGGTTCTTCTGTACATAACTAGTTCCATGCACATTGAGAGTTGATTCTGCAGAAGGTACTTCTAGAAACAGAATTACCGATTTCCAAATGGAATTACTCAAAGTTGGACTTTTCAAATGTTGAAAGGTACCAAGGCAACAAAGCAGATATAATTTCCTAAAAAAAAGACAATATCAGAGAAGGTGGACAAAGAAGTGCAGTAAGGCTAGCAGGATGTGGCCAGTTTCTGCAGAGCAGGGTGGGTACATGAGGTCCATTTGTTCTTTTATCTGTCTAAACTTCTGATAAAGTGATAAAAACTACTAGGCGTTGTTGATAAAGCAGCACTGAGGAAAAAGAGCTAATTAGAAAAGAATTCTCAAGAAGCTGAAAAACAAACTCAGAGAGCAAGAGAAGAACAGCAGAGAAGGAGCAGAAGGAGGGCCATCAAAGTCAAGGCCGGCCAGATATGTGGTCAGATCACAGGAGAGACAGAATGAGAGGAGGTTGAGTGAAAGATAGACTGATAGGTACAGATGGATGGAGAGATGGATGGGTGGATGGGTGGATGAGTGGATGGGTGGATGGAGGGATGGGTAGATAGAGAGCTAAGGAGGGGAAGGAAAAACAACTGTAAAGGGACAACTGGCAGTAAAAGCTGGCTCTTTGAAGAGAAAAGTGCACAATCAACACAAGCTCTGACCGTAGGACATGGTTCAGACTCTGCAGGCCTCTTGCACAGAGGCTCTGAGAAAGGACCTAGATGCTGGCTCCCTGAGCGGAGAGGGTTACTCACTGCTTCTTTGCATGCCTCCCTTACTCTGGACGATGCAATTTGTTTTCTATTAAAAAAAAAAAAAAAAAGTCAAACTGTGCTAGCTAGCTTTAGGTCAACTTGACATGAGCCAGAAACATTTGGGAGAGACGACCTCAATTGAGAAATGCCCTTACCAGATTGACTGGTAGGCAAACTTGTGGAGCATTTTCTTGAGTGTGGGAGAACCTTGCCTACTGTGGGTGGTGCCATGGTTTTGGATGCTATAAGAAAGCAGGCTGAGAAAGCCATAGGAAGCAAGCAGTGTTCCTGGACTCTGAATTAGTTCCCACCTCCAGGTTCCTGCCTTGAATTCCTGCTCTGACTCTCCTCAGTGGCTACAAGTGAGAATTACCAAGGAATGTAAAAAACACCATTCCATTGCTGCTGGATGTGACACTGCTAGCCCTGAAAAGTTCTCCAGCTCCTAGATTTGAAGGCAGCAAGAGGGTGAGTTTGAGGCCAATCTGGATACATGCAAGATCCTGCCACAAAACACAGTAAAAGCAAAGTGAAACACAAGGCTCAGAGATGATCTAGTGTGAGCTGGTGCTGTGTGCGGAGGCTGGATGTTGAAGTCAGTGACTTTCTCTATTACTACACATCATCTGAGACTGGCTGGAGCTCAGGGGACCCCCTTTCCCAGCACTGGGGGGTACAGATGTCAACACTGTGTCCAGTTTTGATAATATGGTGAGGCTAGACGCAGATCCTTGTGCTCCAGTGGCAAGCATTTTATAGATTATCTCTCTACCCACCTCTCTGTATTCATACATGATTCCACACACAACATAAATTTTAGGCCTGCAGAAATGTGATAGGCAGTCATGTATTAAAGTCATCTCTTGGTGTTTGCCATAAAGCCTGATAATCTGAGTCTAGTCTCCACAACCCATGTGCTAAACTGAGTGTCAATGAGTCTTCTGATCATCATGAGTACCATACTCACACACATACACACAATAAAGAAAAATTATTTTTCCAAGTTTCTACCATTGAACAAGCTTAATATTCAGTAAACGGTCTTACCCTATGGCACTAGCAAGATCTTCCCAATCTATTTCGTTAGCATCATTCACATTTAGTTCATATAACCTGTAAAAAAAAAAATAAAAATTTTAAATAAAGTCCACCTCCACAGACTCACAAACTACCAAGAGCTGAAAGGTCCCCCAAGTACACTGTCCAGCCTAGCCCAAGATTAGTTCAAGGTCAGAGAGTAAGCTATGGAGATGAGCTGAAAAGCATCTCTCCATTCAACAGTCTCTCAGGAACAATACACTGTCCTTAAGCCTACTACTCAAGACACTGTTAGCATTATATGTGCACTACTCATGCACAGTAATTCTCAGTAGTGGGGAGGCATCAGCCCCATTCTACAGATAAGTAAATGGAGCTTGGGGACTAGACCACAGACTCAATTTGTCACGATTACCTAGTGGTGAGGACCAGTCTGCTAATCTGCTAACCTTGCAGAATGAAGGATGGAGCACAGCCAGCCAGGGTAACACAGGAAGCATGGCAGAGTGCTGGAACAAAGAAACTGGACAGATTGGCCACAACCAAGGGCATCTGCTGCTCTTGCTGCTACTCTAGCATAAGCCTACATCTGCCAGACTCACCGGTGTCAGAGTCTCATGCCTCCATTTCCCTTGAGACTAATGTGCTGAGGACTCTGCATAGACAAGGAACTCAGGACAAAACCAAGCAACAATTGCACCAACTGTGTCACTGCGGTGTAGCAGGGCTGTCTAACTTTCCCACCATCAATTCCCAATGGACAGGGATAACATACCCATAAGAACAGCTCTGCAGACTAAACTAACAACCTTAACTAAGTACTTAGTATGGCCACCATGCATTGTCCCTCATACTTCCATGAACACTGGGAAACAGATAACTTCTTTTTATCAGCCTCATTCAGAAGTGGTCAACAGAATCAGAAAGGCAGGCCACACACCCACTGTGACACATGTGGGAGGTAAGTCTAAGCAATGACATTGTAGTCTCTGGATTAACAATTAGTGTTTTATACAACACCTATCCCTATTTTAGTACCTTTCAATAAGGGTGATTTTGGCCTGCAGAGCATTGACCCCACGATATACGAATCCACCATGGGTCATCCTTTTGGTAAGAATCTCTGTCCTGTTAAGAAAAAGAAAAATGTAGTTTACTTTTAGTTTAAAAGGTAAATTTCCTATATTCTTAGTATAGAGAGCAAAAGGCATTGTGCACACAGAGAAATACTGGAGAAGTTTACCTCTTTAACAGAATGCGGTGCTGGTTGCTCTTCCTGGAACACCAGGGATGATGTTGTTTTATAACCTGGTGACTCTTTGCTGTGTGATGAGACAGGCTCTGCCTTATCTTCCAGAATTTATGTTTTTACCTAGAGCACTGCTTTTAGACCATAAAATCCACTCTTATGAGGGAGGTCACTTGTACTTTCCAATAGCCTAAGTGACTTCTATGTTATCTTAGGGCCAGGCCAATCCCGACACCCACAGGCATTATGTCTGCCTCAATCAAGCTCCCTAGATGCTAAATCCTGGGGACTATCTCTGAGTCAAAAGTACCCATTCTTGTGAAAGAGGCAAGATGTACTTTGTAAGGAATCTCAGTGTAAAAACATGACTTAAATTGTTGTGCACTTGAGGACTGAGTAAACTTTTTTTTGGTTTGTTTTTCTGATACAGAATTTCTCTGTGGTTTTGGAGGCTGTCTTGGAACTAGCTCGTGTAGACTAGGCTGGTCTTGAACTCAGAGATCTACCTGCCTCTGCCTCCTGAGTGCTGGGATTAAAGGTGGGCACCATTACCGCCCAGCTCTGAGTTAATTGTTACCTGAATACTTCTTTCAAAGACTGTGCTGTGCTCAAATATTACTAAATGATCTGGGCCTGGAGTAAATAAATGGACAGAATGGCCATGATTGTTTAACGTGGATAATGGGGAAGAGAGGGTCTATTTTGTGGTATGAAATCTGTGTAAGGGAAATTTTTTTTTCAAATTGATGAATGACAATTTTTGGTTTATGTATAAAACTAGTTCTATAAAAGTGAAACACTCCAATACTGAAGCACAGTATACTTATGAATGGTGTTTTCTCAATGAAGCAGCATGCTGGCGTAACAGCAGTACAATGGAGTCCACATCAAATGTAAGTTACACGCGTCAGGGCTGAACTATGAGCTCTCATCACCATCCTTATCACCTCCATATTAGTGGAAATAAGACTGTTCTGAGACCCAATTACTCATGATTAATCAGAGCCTTCCAAACTGCTGATGCTGCAAGAGGTGCAGCTTTCACAGCAGGGACTGAGAAGAGGGCATCTGTGCTGTAAGCCTTTGCAGTACAAGGAACAATGGAGACCCCACTTCAGCTAAAACAGACAGGGTTGGCAGAGGTAGTGGGCCTGGTGTGGGTGTACTTTGTCCGCTAGTAACAGAGCCAACATTAACCATAAAATGGTTATTCTTCTCATACAGTAGATGACTTTCTTTGTAAAGATGATTTGTAAAGATGATAACTGTTAAACAGTATCCATCAGGTGGCAATCTAGGACTTGAATATGGTTTCATCAATAGCAAAGGGGTTTGATTTCTTTGCTCTGGGAAATTTTGTGAGTGTGTGTGCCTGAGTATGTGAGGCCAGAGGTTAACACTGGCTGTGTGCCTCTAGTGCTGTCCACCTTATTTCTGACACAGGGCTGGAACTCACTGGCAGAGCCAGTGCCACCAAAGAGTTCCAGGGATCATCGGTCTCTAGCCCTCACCCCACACCACAGCTGAGGTTATTGACACTTGGCTTTTACATGGTGCTGGGACCCTGAACTCAGGTTCTAATGCTTTATTTACCCACTGGGTTTCTCTATGTAGCACTGTCGGTTATTTCTCTCTGAATAAACATCTATTCGGCCTATTTGTTTATCCTGATCCTTATTTAACTGCAATAGTCGGTCTGTCCTGGAACTCACTCTGTAGACCAGGCTGGCCTGAAACTCAGAGAGATCCACCTGCCTCTACCTCCAAAGTACTGGGATTAAAGGTGTGCACCATTAGCACCCAATTACAAATGTTCTTTGTGGTTGTTTATAAATAGGTGACTATTGGGGCTGAAGAGGTGGCTCAGTGTTTAAGAGCAGTAGCTGTTCTTCCAGAGGTCCTGAGTTAATTCCCAGCAACCACATGGTGGCTCATAACCATCTGTAATGAGATCTGGTGCCCTTTTCTGGTATGCAGACAGAACACTGTACACATAATAAAGCTTTAAAAAAAATTGTTATTCCTGCTTTACTAAAGACATAGAAAGATATAGTCAAGAGCCACACCAGGTGGCAGTGGCACACACCTTTAATCCCAGCACTCTGGAGGCAGAGGCAGGTGGAACTAGCCGTGTCTACAGAGTGAGTTCCAGGGCAGCCAAGGCTGTTACACAGAGAAACCCTGTCTCAAAAAAAACCAAAAACCAAACAACAACAAAAAAGAGAAGTCCATCTTGGTCTACTGCTCAGGCTGGCCCCAAATGTGAGATGTTCCTGCCTCAGCTTCCTAAGTATGGGATTCACAGGTGTATACCACCACAAAGCCTGTCTTTAAGTTCTGTATGAGGAAGAAATAAACCCCTGCACAGACACTGTTTCACACTTGCGTGCTGTCAATCCAAGGCACATTTAGGTGCTGGCTGAAGCAGGCACAGCAGGGGCTGGAGCATTCTTGACACTGTGTGTTGTGCACAGCCATTACAGAGGCTCACTTCACCTCTTACCCAGGTCAGACAAATGAGGGAAACCTATCAAACATACATAGGAATCCTTACACTTACCACTTACTTTTGCACTGCATCCAGTTCCTGGTCTCCACTCTAGCTTCCACTTCCACCCATGATATGCCCTTGTATAGTTTTTCCCGGACAATTGACAGGCGACCTTCAGGGTCTTCCTGAAGTCTAGAATCCAGTTCTCTTAACTCCTGGGGAGACATTTTCTTTAGGATCACATCCTCCACAGCCTTGATTAGTCTCTGGGTTTCTGTCTTACTCCAAGTACCGTGGTTTCTATCTGCAGACATAAAAGGATGACCTCGTAGTTGCTCATCTATTTGCTTTTAAGCATGTTAAAAAGGAGATGATGGCTGGGCTTGGTGGTGTACACCTTTAATCCCAACACTTGGGAGAGGCAGGCGGATCTCTGAGTCTGAGGCCAGCCTGGTCTACTGAGTGAGTTCCAGGACAGCCAAGGCTATAGAGAAACCCTGTCTCAAAAAAAAAACACACACACACACACACACACACACACACACACACACACACACACACACACACACACACACACACACAGCACTATTAAAAAGATAAATAGTTGATATATCAAGCCCTTTCCAAAAAAAAAAAAAAAACAATGGGCAACAGCTCAATCAAAGCAATCTAAAATAACTAACAACAGTTACTTTTGTTTTTTGAGACAAAGTCTTTCTATGCAGCTCTGGCTATCCTGGAACTCACTATGTAGACTAGGCTGGCCTCAGACTTACAAAGATCAGCCTGCCTCTGACTCTCAAGTACTGGAACTAAAGGGGTGCACCACCCAACCTGGTTTAAGCTCCAACATTTTGGGACAAAGTGACTGCATTAACTCCCTCCCAGCAGCTCCCACCTGGCCAGCTTCTGGAGGCCCAACATAACCAGATGGATTTATGCTACTCTGTATGGAACTGAGACATGGTCAGTAGGCCCAGTGAATAAAAGCTAGAGTTTCACTGACTGCACACGAAGAAGCCAAATGAACTAACATTAGAGAATATATACTAAGAATGGGCCCACAGAGAGCTCTGCACACTCGCTCAGTCATTGGCTTATTTTACAGAGAGATAGGCCACTTACGACCACCAATCTGAGAGAACTTCAGGGCAACAGACAGGCTGCTCCGGGCTACCATTGCCCCAATCTTTTTCCAGTCATTTCCGTGGAGGGAATGATATGCCTTCAGCTTCTTAGTATCTTCTTCATTATACCTGAGAGAAGGAAAATGGATGAATAATGAAGGTTTAATGAAGTCCAAGCTAGAAAGGGTGCCTCATGGCACTTCTTTGGAAAAGACAGCACTGGCAGGAGTCCATGCCCCTCCTTCCAATGGCTGGAGCCCCTCACTGCCTGTGTCAGCATTCCAGCAGTGGTCATGTCCTCAGATACAGCTGGCCAGAGCCAGAGGCTTGATTCTCTCAGAGGCCACAACGAGCTATCTCAGCCTGTCCTTGCCCTATAGCCTCTATGATGGCTTCGATGTGACTCTCTCCACCCACCAGTGGCCACCTGGAGGGCATTTTGTAGGGAGTGCTGCACTGGCCAGCTGGCCAAGTCTCCCCCTGAGCTTTCCCTGCACTGTTCTAGGCCTGCCATTGGCATTAGTAGTGTGACCCCTGAACACTACTTCCTCTAGACCAGTGCTGACTGCTGTCAACCAAAATATAATGTAAGCCACTGAGCCGTGCTTCACGCCCCCACAAGGAAGAATTCACTTCACTTAGTGTTAGTAAGATTAACATGAGAACAAGCTTCCTTTGAGCTGGGCATGTGACTCCCTGATTGAGCACATTCTGGGAAGCACAAGGCCCAGGTTCCACCTAAGTGCTTGGCACAACACTTCTAGGAGTCAGAGGGCACTGACTATTCGAAACCCAGCACAGCAACTGCTCTCGCCATATATGGTGGTATGGATTAATTCCATGTGGCCAATGGCCATACAGGAGATGGCACAGCTGGGAGGCAAGGATCACAAGGATGGGGCCTTGTCAGATTGTTCTCTCTGGGCTTAACAAAAAATATGTGCCTGCATTAATCCTATCTAAGTAGTATAAGCTATGGTGTGTGCCACCACGACTGTCAGATTTCTAAATCTTAACCCAAAGTTGGGGTGGAGAGATCAGTGGTTTATGTCATTACTATGGTCAGACAAGGGTTTAGTAGAACATTGACAACCTCTGACATGGAACTTCTCTAGCACAGCAGTGTTCCAGTGTCTGCAGAAAGTGCACATACAAACAGGGACTTGGAAAACATGGACGTTATTAAGAATTATGGGAGGTGAGCTGCACAGATGCTCAATGGTAAAAGGACAGGCTCACAACCAAAAAGACAAAAACTGTGGGTAAAGGCCGGAATGTTAGATAAATGGATAGGAGCACTTACTATTCTTTTTTTTGAGACAAGGCCCTGGTTGTTCTGGAATTTGCTATGAAGACCAGGATGGCCTTAAACTCAAGAGATCCTCCAGCTCCTGCCTCTGCTTCCTAACTGCTGAGATTAAAGGTGTGCACCATCACACCTGGCTACTCTTACTGCTCTTGTAGAGATCCCAGGTTCAGAACCTAGCACCCACACGATGGCTCACAATAGTCTGAAACCCCAGTTCTAGGTGATCTGACACCTCCTCTGACCTCTGCAGGTTCCTGCATGTATGTGGTGCACACACATAACATATAAAATACACATTTTTAGATTAGAAGAATTGTGGGCAAGAGTATAAGGATACAGTGGGCAATGGGGACGGGAGAGGGAAGTAACGGGCTGACTCAGTGGGTACCATGCTCACCAAGTCAGAATGAATGTCTTGGCTCAAATCCCTCACTCACTTAAAGAAGCATGCACACAAAAGAAAAATGTAATTCAAAAATAACGTGAAATGTTGAACACACAAATCAAAGTTGGGGACTTTATTTGGGAAAGAGAAGAGTATGAACCACGTTAGCATTCTGCATGCACCCCAGGATTGCACTATGTAGTCGAACCTGCATCTTCAAACGGTTACAGAAAACCCAACTGAGTGTGCCAAGGCAGAAGAGAACATCACAATGAGAGAAGCTCCAGCACTGGAGCTTACTATATAGCAGAGGGAGCAAACAGGAGACTGCGATTGGCAGGAGATACCCAGTGCTGAAGCCCAGGTACAAAGACAAAGAGGACATTGAGTACAGAAGATTCCAGAGGGCTTATTAAAGAAGTGGAAATGGAAATGAATCTAAAAGGCATATATTTAACCAATCCCCAGCTAAGTTTCAATGCAGAGATCTTTGTGATCTTCTCCATGGATGTGGATACTTTGCTTCTTGACATTAGGACCAATTCTAGCCCAAGTGGTGAGACTTTCTTACCTGCCTTTGTAATTATTCACATCAAATATCTTCTTAGCACGATAGTACACAAGCTTCCAGGGCCGAGCAATGCCTTTCCCTACAGATAGTTAGAAGACAGGGTCAGAGCCAGGCAGTGGTGGGGCACACCTTTGATCCCAGCACTCGAGGAGGCAGAGGCAGGCGGATCTCTGTGAATTCAAGGCCAGCCTTGTCTACAGAGTGAGTTCTAGGACAGGCTCCAAACCTACAGAGAAATCTTGTCTTGAAAAATAAAACAAAACAAAACAAAAAGTCAGAGAGGTAGTGACATGGCCACAGATGCCAAAGTACCCCAGTGGAGCCTTTGTAACACGGGTAACTCATGTGCAGCAATGTGTGCAGGCAGGGACTGCACACGCCCTCACTGTCACAAACAGATGTACAGTTCACACTGCCCTCTGTGTCGTGCACATCACTTTCAAGGATCCACAAGACCCCCGCTGGATTGCCATTTCACCATAATTTTAGAAGAGCGCTAGGGATCAGCCCTCTCCCCAGCCAAGCCTTACTCGTTTGTCACTCTCCAGGGGCCATCATCCTGCTTCCCTGTGTTGTCCAGAATACACCCATGAAATTACTATCTTCAGATTCAAAAAAGTTCTTTCATGAGGGACCCAATGCCACTTATTGGTCTTTTTTCTTTAAATGTATTTTTTTGCCAGACATGGTGGCACCCACCTTTAATCCCAGCACTGGAGAGGCAGAGGCAGGTGGTTCTCTGAATTTCAGGCCAGCCTAGTCTATAGAGGGAGTTCTAGGACAGCCCAGGCTACACAGAGAAACCTTTTCTTGAAAAGATGAAAAAATAAACGAACAATATTTCAAATTAATTTGTTGAGAATTTCATACTATGTATTTTGATCATATTTACACCCAACTCCCTTTCCCTAAGTCCTCCAAGATCCACCTCCTCCTCTCTAAGGCCCCAACCGTGGGTCATCCTCTTCTTTGTTCGTGTTGTCCATAAACTTCTGGGTGTAGGGCCACTCTCACTATGACCTCCAAACTCTCTCAACAGTACCCACCAGCAGGGATCTAGCTCAAAGCACACACTTAGAAGAACATGATGCATGGAAGGATATGTTTCATGCAGAAGGAATGATAGACAGGACAAGAAACTGAAGTCATAATTACTGCCAAAGAAACAAGGTAGAAGGTCCCTTACTTTTTCACACAGAAGCACTAGTTTGAGAGACACTACAAAATAAGTACCTGTTGCCACAGGGAAACAGGCAGGCAGGCAGGCACGCGTGCACAACTGAGAGAGTGTGGGAAGGCCCAGGGTGTTTGAGTTTGTTCTTCCACTTACCAATGTGCAGTCGGAATGCATGCTTTCGTTTTAAGTTGGTGATCAGAGACTTTTCCTCTGGATATCGGTCTGTGTACAGCAGCTTGTCTGCACTTTCAATTCCAGTCAGGGACAGGAATTCTTGCACATTTTTCTCTATTTGTTTATTTTCTTTAGCAGAAAATTTGCCAAATCTAATAGCAACACCTAGGGTTGGGGGGGACGAGGAGAGAAAGTACGTACTGTCAATAATGACTAAGACAAACCTACCACATTCATTTCTTTTCTATGGTGTGGTGTAGGGGTCTGTGCAGAGATTCATGTGTGGTCTCCACACATGACCTGTAGTCTCTACAGATCAACCTCAGCTGCTGATCCTCAGATCCACCCATTTTTAGTGATAGTTTCTCCTGTTGACTAAGTAGGCCAAGCTGGCTAGCCAGTAAGCACAAGGATCCTTCTGTCTCTGCCTTCCCATTGTTAGGGTTATAAGCACACGCCACCATGGCCAGCTTTTCACATGGCTACAAACACTTTACTCAGACTACTACGGCTAGCAGGACCAGCCTGCTGGGAGCAGCCCACTGCTGTCTTAGGCACTGAGTGGCTTCCATCCCCATCCTCAAGTCTAGTCTAAGCTATAACTCTTGTCCCCAAGTCTTCCCAGACATCTCTTCCACAGTGACTTGCTTGCTTCCTCAATCTCTTTAAAATAGTTAGGTTAAAAGCAACATTCATAAAAAATCTAGACAACATTGAAGAAGAATATAAAAGAAGCCCCTCCCTCCCCCACATGCCACTGAACTCCCTCAAAGTGGTGTTCCCAAGGGCTAGCAGGAACCTCATGAACAAACACAAGCAATCATTAAGAATCAGTTGTGTGAATAGTGCATTGCTCTTTGTTTTTGCAGAGCTGGAGACTCAAAGAATTGTCTGGTTTTAGGTGTTTTGTTTTGTTATGACAGGGTCTCATGTAGCTCAGGCAAGCCTCAGACTTCCTATGCAGCTATGAAAGGACTTGAATTTTTGATTCTCCTGCTTTCACCTACTGAGTGTTGGGGTTACAGACATGCACCGGCACACTCAATTTATGTGGGTGTTGGGAATCAAACCTAGTGCTAGGTGTATGCTAGGCAAGCACTCCTACTAACTGAGCTATATCCTCAGCCCTGGTTTTAGGTTTGTTTGTTTATTTATTTATTTATTTATTTATGTTTTTCAAGGCAGGGTTTCTCTGTATTGCTTTGGAGCCTGTCCTGGAACTCGTTATGTAGATCAGGCAGGCCTGGAACTCACAGAGATCTGCCTGCCTCTGCCTCACTCACAAGTGCTGGGATTAAAGGCATGCACCACCAATACCCAGCTTGTTTTTAGGTTATACACACATACATACATACAACAAAATAAATAAATAACCCAGTAATTTACATGTGTAGCCAGGCATGGTGATTCACATCTGCTAATTCCAGCACTTGGGAAGCTGAGGCAGGAGGATGGAGTTTGAGCTCAGCCTGATCTACATCATGATTCAACATAAAATACAGCAAAGGGGAACCCAAGACACTTCTCTGTAACTGTCCACACGAGGTGCTTAGGATATGTGTATTTAACCTCTTTGTTTCTATTCTCTTCAACCACCTTGGCTCCCAAAGTCAGAAACACCTCACTGAACATATAATATATACCTGTGTGAAAGAGTCCTTATGCTACACACTCTCATGCATAATAAATACAGGCAATGAAGAAACTTTTTTTCCCAAGACAGGGTTTCTCTGTGAAACAGTCCCAGAATTCACTCTGTAAACCAGGCCTGAAACTCATAGAGATCCGCCTGCCTCTGCCTCCCAAGTGCTGGGATTAAAGATGTGCACCATCACTGTCCAGCAGCTTCTTAGATCTTAAAGGATGCTTCTCCTGGACCCATCAATCCAAGTTGCTCACAAAAGCAGCTGCTGTTTGCTCTGCGAATTAGAAAGCTTACCTTGTGCCTTAAATTCTCTGAAGCGCTCCAGGTCATCACGATACATGCGTCTGATTGTGGTGGCTGCCCTTTCCTGAATGTCAGGAATGAACTCTTGGAGCTGCCTCACTGCAGAGCCCAAATCCACATCTGATTCATCAGAATCTCTCCCATCTTCAGATACATATCTTGTTGCGGAATTGCTGACTGATTCCAAATTGCTTTCTTCTTCATGGGCAGATTCTACCCTAAGGAGGAAACTGGGTTACCAGCAGTCATCTTTTATCTAACACTTTTCCAACTCTTCTTGTCTAGACTTCCCAGTCTAGAAGAGTACTGAAGCTAGACTGCATCTTGGAGTCATTCAGTTTGAGGGCAAACTCTTTATGCAAACCTGATTACATTAGATGGGTACATATGTAAGAAGGTAATTCCATTCCACCTCTTATTGTTCATGTGCTATATTTCTCAACCTTGGTTCTAATAAGTAAAGCCTTCTTTTATCTCTACTGAGAATCAGATACTTCTCCAAGCTCTTCCAATGAGTAATTCAGTTAACTCAGTGTTCAGGGTTTACCCAACTGTGGCTTCTCCTGCTTCACGAGCTATGGGCCTCATTTCCTCCTTAGTTTTTTATGTATCCATCTCAATTGCTTTCATCAGTTCCTGACCAGATGTCAGAATCTGTCTGCTCTTAGTATGTTCAGGCATCAGCGTGTATGTCAGACTGGGAACTAAACCATCTCGTCTATCTGTTAGGAAGTTAGTGACTTTCACAGGGCCAAGGAAAGCTAGAGCTAAAGCCCTAGCATATTCTTGCCTCATGACCAGTGTTCTGACAATACAAAGGACAATGTGAACGACCCACACCTGCTATCATTACTATCCCAGGTGGCATTTAACAATACTTCTATTTAACACTTATGTGAAACTCTTCTAAGTCAGACTACCAAACAACCACAAAAATTACTGGATGAAATGTGAAGAGAAAATCTGTCCCCAGTCTAGGATGTATAGCTGGGAAAAACTCATTAGACAGTGTACTTGCATAACATTAGAGAAGTAACAGTAGGGACATTGCTTGTGTGAGATTCGGTGCCAGAGATTCAAGCTTTTGCTGCTTTGCAGAATCCTCAGTATAATGTATGTAACCCTTACATCCATACATACTCCAAGACAAGGTATGTGGCTTGGAAGTCTTAAAATGGCTCAAATGTACAGCATTAGGTAGAAGAGACCTCAGTGAAAATCTAATTTAACTACCTTCTTTTACACATGTAGAAATTTAGCTACCTGTTAAGATGGTTCAATTAAATGTGCACATTATTATGATTTCTGTTATTTCATATGCATACAGAAGATACCATTCCCAGCTTACCCCTGCATCTCTTCTGCAGGTTTCTCACTGGAACAAGCCTGGGTTTCTGCTTTCCTTGTTCTGCAGTCCACATCTTCTTCCCTCAAAGCATCACTGCCTTCTAATGAATCCATGAGGGCATTCTTAGCATCATTGTCAAGCAGCGATACATTGTCACTAGAGGTGGCAATAGCAACAGACTTCCCCTTCTTAGACTTTTTCCTGATACTGTCAGATCCTTTGACCCTCTCACCATCTCCAGTCCCAAACTCTCCTCCAGTGTGTGTGCTACCAAGACTCTCGGGCTTGGCTCCCAATTCCTGGTTCCTGGACACTTTTTCCTTAGACATTTTTTTATGAGACACCGATAGCTCTGTGCTTCTGCCTTCTAGCTGCACAGAAGACAAGGATTCTGAGTGGGGCAGGGTTATGCTCTCAGGCTGGCTTCCCTGTACTGCATCCCAAGATGCAACTTTCTTTGGATGCTTTTGATTCTTTTTGCTCTTAACATCACTGTGTAGCTCTTGACAGTCATGTTTCTGGGACTCAGTAATGGACAGCTTCTCTGCTTTGTCCACTTTTGCTGACTTTTGTCCCTTGCTTACATCTACATAAACAATATCCACATCTTTCCTAGAACTTTCTAGCAGGTTCTCCATGTTCTCTTTATTTACAAGGATAATACCTGTTTCCATATCTACCTCCCAAACACTACTTCTCTTTTTCTTTTTATGGGTAGAAGTGGTCTTTTTGGCTTTATGGGAGGTTTCTGAATTTTTCAGAAGAGAAGAAGTAAGTTGCTGGGACTCCTTCCTCTTTTTCTTCTTGGTTATGTGAGGCTGCTCACTCTCTGAGCTCTCAGAGGCTGGTGTCTGGGACTTCTTTCTCCTCTTCTCAAGCTTGGACACCCAAGGATGCCCACTCTCCAGGCTCTCAGGGGCTGATGTTTGGGACTCCTTTCTCTTCTTCCCCAGACTGGACACCTGAGGCTGCTCACTCTCTGAGCTCTCAGGGGCTGGTGTCTGGGACTCCTTCCTCCTCTTTTTCCTCTTGGCTATATGAGGCTGCTCACTCTCTGAGCTCTCAGGGGCTGGTGTCTGGGACTCCTTCCTCCTCTTTTTCCTCTTGGCTATATGAGGCTGCTCACTCTCTGAGCGCTCAGTGGCTAGTGTCTGGGACTTCTTCCTCCTCTTCTCCAGCTTGGACACCCAAGGATGCTCATTTTCCAAGTTCTCAGGGGCTGGTGTCTGGGACTCCTTCCTCTTTTTCCTCTTGGCTATGTGAGGCTGTTCACTCTCTGAGCGCTCAGGGGCTGGTGTCTGGGACTTCTTCCTCCTCTTCTCCAGCTTGGACACCTGAAGATGCTCATTTTCCAAGTTCTCAGGGGCTGGTGTCTGGGACTCCTTCCTCCTCTTTTTCCTCTTGGCTATGTGAGGCTGCTCATTCTCCAGACTCTCAGGGGCTGGTGTCTGGGACTTCTTCCTCCTCTTCTCCAGCTTGGACACCTGAAGATGCTCATTCTCTAAGTTCTCAGGGGCTGGTGTCTGGGGTCTTTCCTCAGACACAGAAGACTGTTTCTTTTTCTTGTAAAAAACTGCAGTGTGATTTTTAACTCTGCTGGAGACTCCTTCCATCATATTCCTTTAGGGAAATGTGACAATGATGGTTTATTGGGGTATTTTAAATGTAAGTTTGGGTGAGACATAGCACAGTCAAACAAAGCTGTATGACAAACGACAAGTCTGCAGTCTTGAATATAAATTTTATATTATTCAAAATATATAGGAAACTCACTGTAATCCGCTTTGCCTTTATGATACACATTCAAGAACACACATGTACACACAACCCCCATTCCCCAGCTCACAGGCAATAACATCCTAGACCACATGCCACTCATAGTCTCATCTTCTGTGTACATGTACTTCCTGTGGTTCTCACAACACGCCCTTCCTTCTTCCTGGGATCTCTACTATTGCGGTAAATAAGGATCAGGATAAACAAATAAGCCGAATAGATGTTTATTCAGGGAGAAATAACTTACAACCTAGACAGATGAACACCAGGAAATTCAACCCGATCCTCTCCTGTCCGAGTCACGCCAGAAAAAAGCGCCTTCCTGGCCCCCTCCGACCTCCTTCCTCAGGTCACCTCCGCCCATAGCTCCACCCCCAATGGGCGTGGTCAGTGCTACAGAAGGACTACCTCACTACACTCTACTGCCTCCTACTCTCCTGGCCTACCTGTGAGCTTGGCTAGAAGACCGTTTTGCTTTACCTTGGTTTTGAGGTTTTTTTTTTTTCTTCTTCTTTTTTTAGAGACAAGGTTTTACTGTGTTTGCCCCCAACACTTGTTGCAGTCCATCCATCTCAGTCTCCAGTCCTAGGACTACAGGCACAAATGAGAACACTAGCTGGAAGGCGACATCTTTAAGAAAGCCTCCTCTTACATCAAGCTGGTACTGACCAGGAAGCCTCTTTACTGGCTAGCTCTTATAGTACCAGAGGTGCTATGTGATTTCTGAGTGGAAAATCATAACCATAGCTGGCTATGAGTCCTGTGAATGACAATGAGAGGTACGGCAAGTTGTGGGGGACAACAACGGCATGAATGTTTTGAGGGTAGCAAACTGGTTTTAAGGTCTGCTCCAACATACTTGGTACTGCAAATCTGGCCAAGAGCTCATGGTTAGAGAGCTCACAGGCCCCAGGGTTGATCTACTACTGTTTTTTGTTTGTTTGTTTTTCTGTGTAGCCCTGGCTGTCCTGGAACTCAGATATCCACCTGCCTCTGCCTCCTGAATTCTAGGATTAACGGTGTGTACCACCACCGCCTAGCAGTGAATCTACCGCTATCATTCTACTAAGCAGACATAGCATCAAACTGCCTCTACATTTGTACCTCTTCCCATACATTAATCTCCCAGACCTCATCAGAGAAGTTCTTTTGTGCTGTGGATAGCAGCTAACGCAGAAATTCACAACTAGCCAATATTCAGAGAATAAAGCCAGGTTGTAGTGGTACACACTGGTGATCTCCTTGAGTCTGAGACTAGCCTGGTCTACAAAGTGAGTTCGAGGACAGCTTGGGCTACACAGGAAAACCCTGTTTGGAAAAACCAAACCCAACAAACAGGCAAAAACAAAAAAAGTACAGAGGATAAGTGCTAGTGGCTAATGGTGCGAGAGCAAGGTAAACTGGAGAAGATGGAGTGAACTCCACCCTCGGAAAAAGCCACCTTGAGAAATTCTCTGCCTGGCTGGCACAAGGCTATTTCAGCTCTAGCTAAGGAACCACAAACAGTTCCAAACTGTGCCCACCCCAGTCAAAGTGACCCCATCCGGGTGGTCAGGCAATAACTAATTATGGTAAATAACATCTTCTTGACACACTGTCCTTGTGGCAGATGTCAGTAACACTTTTGAAATTCTCCTAGCCCCCATGTCAATGAATCCAAAGGTCACCTTCTCTTACTCAATCCCGAATAGCTAAGGCATGTAGCACCCTGTTTGCGGTTTTTTCCGTTATAAACCCCTTGTAATTGAGGCCAGGCACCCAGGCTAGTCTTGTAGCCTAACAATAAACCTTGTGCATTTTCATTGGTGAGTAGGCTCCTTGGTGGTCTTTTTGGGGGTCTCACGAACTTGGCATAACAATAGGACATCTATATCCCTTGCCCACCTGTTGGAAGCCGGCCTTGAGTCACATCCTCTTGCAGAATTACTTACACCTTAAAACTCTAATTGAGCCTTATCTTGGTAAAACAGAAAACTGCTAAACAAGCAGTCTGTTCCACTCAACCCAGGAACTGAGATGAACCAGACCCCGGGAACTGAGATAAGCAGACATTTATGGCCTGGGACTTTACCAGAGCCCCAGAGTCAGCACAGCTACCCCTCCCCATTCCCTCCCTGCTCTCCTTTAAAAACCCCTCTTTGTGCCTAATAAAGTGAAACCTTGACAAAGATTGCTTGGTCTCGTTCCTTCTTTCTCTCCCATTATTTTCAGGTTCTAGCCCACCTCGACCCACGAATAACTAGGCCCCGCTGGTCGGGGCACCCACCCTCTCAGAAAATGAGGGAAGACCCTGAGAGCCTAGGCTGGGGAGAACCAGAGCTAAACAGTGTTCTGAACTGACAGGACCCTGGCTTTCGTAACTTACAGCAGCTGTATATAGTTGCCTACACAAGATGAAGCCAGTCAACATTCAAACACAGAGGGGGAGGAGCTAATGAGCCCCTACTCCTAACTGCAGTGATACAGATTTCTGGGGAAGAGAGAGGCAGTTTCCTCTAAGGGTGTGGTCCCTGGTAGGCTGACATGGCTTCAGTGGATGGCCCTATACACAGAGTAAACGGCAGCTGGATGGGTTATTTTTTAAAAAGAAAACAGAGGATATTACACTGGGAGGGAGAAGGAAGGAAGTGGGGATGGATCTAGGAGCCGGGGAAGTAGTGGGGATAAATATGATCAAACTGAGTTTCATAAAGAATTACAAAATTCTCAAAGAAGTATTATACTGAAGTCTTGGCAGCGGTGGCACACACCATTAGTCCCAGCACTCGAGAGGCAGAGGCAGGCGGATCCCTGTGGGTTCAAAGCCAGCCTGGTCTACAGAGTGAGTTCAGGACAGCCAGGGCTGTTACACAGAGAAAACCTGTCTAGGAAAAAGAAAAAAAGAAAGAAAGAAAGCTTCCTTTCCTCATCTTTTCACAGCAATCTTTGCTTTTGTAGCACTTGTAATTATAAAAATTAGCAATTGGCCCCTCCATCAGTCAACATTTGTGTCCTCTGCTAGTACATTCAGATCCCACAAAGGGAGGCAGTTTGTCTTGCCCCCCCCCATACTTCCACTACCTCGAAGCCATGACCCAGCCCTTCATTAGAGTGAAGTGAGCTTCATGTTGGCATCACTAAGCATCCACAGACCTAATGCAGAGTCACTAGCCTTTGACAAAGAGGGTAGATGTGCCTTGTTAGTGACCAGCAAAACAAAAGAATTCCACAGTATATAAGGGCAAAATTTTGTGTTAATACTGATATACAGGGTGTACGAATTTTGGAATGACTATACTAACGGGGTAGAGATGTAGTTCAGCTGGTAAAGTGTTCACCTAGCACACATGAAGTCCTGGGTCCAATCCCTAGCATCTCATGAATCTCTGTAGTCGCATGTATCTGTAACCTAGCACTGAGAAGTAGAGGCAGTAAGTAGGATCAGAAGTTCAAGGTCTTCTCAGGTACACATAAGTTTGAGGACAGTCTGGAATACTGAGAGTCTGCCTCAGATACTCCTCTCCTCTCTAGTGCATAAAGAGTTACATATATGGCTGGAGAGATGGCTCAGCCGTAAGAGCACTGGCTGTTCTTCCAGAGGACCCAGGTTCAAATCTGCACCCACATGGCAGCTCATAACTGTCTTTAACTCCAGTTCCAGGGGATATGACACCCTCACACCAATGCACATAAAATAAAGTTGAAATTAAAAAAAAAACAAAAACAAAAAGGATTACATTGTACAAGCAATATGAATTGCTTCTGTGTTCAAATATTTAGAATTTATCTTTAATGGCTAGGTAATATACTTAGATAGTTCAAAATAGTGGGGTGTGTGTGTGTGTGTGTGTGTGTGTGTGTGTGTGTGTGTGTGTGTGTGTAGACAGGGTCTCTCTACAAGGCTCTGACTATCCTGAACTCACTCTGTAAACCAGGCTGGCCTTGAACTCAGGGATCTGCCTGCCTCTTCTCCAGAGTGCTGGGATTAAAGGTGTGTGCCCACCACAACCAGCCTAAAACTGTGTGCTCTTGTTTTTCTTATTATCTCCACGTTCTAACCTGTAGCTTGTTTTTACTAGCAGACTCTGGGTTTTTCTCTCTGCAGTAAGCATGTAGTCCTGCCCCACCCCAAGATAGGGTTTTCCTGTGAAGACCAAGCTGCCATCGAACTCACAGAGATCTGCCCGCCTCTGCCTCCCGAGTGCTAGGCAACTTTCCCTACAGAGGGCACCTCATTACCCTGGGTAAATGGTGGGTGTAAGGACAGTGTTCTGGAAAGAACAGCTGAATTCTCACCTACAAGGCAGGTCCTCTCTGCTTTAGACCTTCCTCTCCAAGGTCACCCAGCTGGGGAAAAACCAGCTAGAGATGCAGGGGACCCTTTCAAAGACTTTTCAAGGTCTCAGCTGACACACAGTAGGAGTGCACAAAGGCTACTAAAGGTTTAGCAGTCTTACATAACCACTGTAGCATCAGCACCTCTAACATTATCTGGTTCTGAACAGTATTTTTGTTTTGTTTTTGGTATGCGTTAATGCTTTTTGGCTGCCCTAGTTATTCTTCAGATAAAATAACATCCTTACAGACCTCCAGGACCTTCTGTTCCTCATTAAGTGACCTAGCCCATGCCTCACATTTCTGTCTTGGTTTCAGGACCCCTTGGCAATCCTCTGTCCTTAGAAGGCTATGTCAGATTTCCTCCGAGGGACCACGCGACACCTTATAAAGCCCGGTGATTGGCCTCAGTGTGCCGGCCACTTTATTAAGGTGCCTTCACTGACTCCTAGCTGGGTACCACGCTCCTTTCTGCACACAGACTTCCTCAACAGCCAGGCACCTTCCCGAGGTGCACAATCCAGAGCTGAGACGTGCCCTGTCTCACCTAAAGAACGGAAATGAA